TCTATACTAACTATATAGACTATACTAACTATTCTTTAGCTTTAACGACCTGTAGAGCAGCTTAGGGCTTTGTGCAATTTAAATTGTATGTAAACTGTAACAATGAACTTCTCTTATTTGTTCCCTTTTGCCATGTTATCTATACCATTGAAAGTGTTTTGTTATATCTGTTTGATAAGTGTAAACAAATACCCGTTGATCCTGCCAGAAATCTTGTGAACTGATAATTTCATGTGCTCTCTGCCAAGCCTGACTTTTATCAGTTACATTGTCCCAGCTATCTATGTGACCCAGGAGTGTACCCATAATGAGGCAGGCGGCATCTCATGGGCGGAGGGGAGCTCCTGCCCAGCTGACAGGTCGGCCAGCTTCCGCCTCCCACTTGGCTGACATCTCGGCTTAACCCACTGCTCCCCCCTCCTCCTGGCCGTCTCAGGTGGCGAATAAGGTAGGGAATGGCTGGAGATTACAAGTGGCTGTGCCCGCACTCATTACACGGGCATGGTCCACTGTTGTCACCATCAGGAAATCAGCCATGAGGCCATTGCTGAAGCGCATGTAGACACGAAGTCTACATGGCTGAAAAGAGAATGCGGGAGATCAACACTACTTAAATGTAATAAAGAATGAAAAAAAGGGGTGAAAAAAGAGGCAAAAATGCCAATTGTTTATAATATACAGTGCTTTAGCAAACAAATATCTTTCAGTTGGGGCTTGCATCTACTTTAAGCAGTGAAACGCCTTTTCCGAATTGTGATCTCCCGCACTGCAGTGTTCATTATATCCATAACTCACAAGACACACCAGCACTAAACTCATTATTCTTGGCAAGCGGGCAAAGAAAAAACATGGCTTCCAGCACCATAGCGAGGCTGGAGCGTGACAGTGGGAAGAAAAACAACTTTTTGTTTTGACTGGCCCTACAAATTATCAGCATTCTGTATCTGTGAAAAGTCCTCCACCTCTTCTATCTCCTGCTAGGTGTCTGATTTCCCCGTCGCTGTCATCCTGTCCCGGAGAACTGATGCAGCCCGCTCATTGCTAATGACCTGGATTAAACTCTGACAGCTTAGTTCAGATTTCCTCTAAAGACATCATTTATTTCTAGAATTCCTGGTTGATTCTGAACGGCTTCCCATGCAACTCATCTAAATAGGAAAATATATTTTAAGCAACATTTAACTACAGGTATGCATTATTCTACATACTTACATTGGTGCAGCTTGACCCATAAGTCATACCTGATGACCCACTGTGGACCCTTGTAAAGCACTGTAGTAGCTGGAGGTACTACAGTGCTGGCTGTGATCTTCTGGGTCTTCAAGGTCTAGGCCTGTGATGAGTAGCTTCCTATCTGCTCTTATTATAGACACAGGAGGTCACTCACTCGGCACAGAGGCCATTCAGAAAACATCTAGGGTTACATGTATAAAACCTCCATCTGGCTATATGCCACTTGTAGCGTTCCTTAATGGCGCTGATGAGTATAGGAAATTCCTATATTTGTCAGTGCCACCCGCCTGGCTAGTGCCGTAACTACGGGTCACGTAGGCCCATAGTAAAAATGTGATGGGGCAGTGGGGTCACAAGGGGGTGTGGGGTGTGTGGCCTGCACCCGAGTGACACCATTGCAGGGGTGATAGTCATTTGGGTCTCACCCCCTCTGAAAAGTCGGGCACTTAGTCATGTACCGAGAGCCCGACAGCTGCACGAGAGGGAAGGGGACCCAGCGGCATACCTTATCCCGCTGAATGAACGTCCCCTGCTCTCCTTACCGGCGTTCATTACCAAAATGGCCGTCAGCAGTTAAGTGCACGCGACGTCATTATGCCCATGCGTGATAACGCCACACACGTGCGTGATGATGTCTCCGAGGGTGACACCCGGCCTGGGGACGCCTCTGGATGGGGGCCTCCCTGATGACCTCTTTCTGAGCTGTGCGTAACGATGCCAAGATCCCAAAGACTTCTCTTGTGCATCTGAAGTCGTCTCTACACTGCAGACTTTACAGTGAATTAGATTTATCATCAGCTGCAAACACTTCAACCCTTAAAGATACAGTAGTGTGTTAACTTCACATGTTCTATGTTTAATATGGCTCAACAACCTAATGGGACCCCCTTCCACCTCCAGGCCCCATAGCAGCAGCCTGGGCTGCTATGGCTATAGTTACACCACTGCATCTGGCTATATGCTGGTGGAAGTTTTATACATGAAGCCCCTAGTATTTTTATCAATTAATACAAGGTGTTCTCTCATTTTGAACGAGGGGCAGATTATAAAGTCACTGCCCCTTGTCCAATCGGAGAACGCCTTGTATACATTGATAGAAATACTAGGCATTCTCTGAATGGCCGCTGTGCCGAGCAAGTGACCCTCTGTGTTTGCAGAGCAGAGGGGAAGCCGGTCAGCACAGTGCCATTACACAACCTGGAAGATCATGGCCATCACTGTAGTAGCTCTGGCTACTACATTGCTTTAGAGGATTTCCAGTGGCTGATCAGGTATGGCATATGCATAGTTACATTGGGCCAAGCTAGTACGTTAATTGGCTTCTGTCTAAATGAGTCCTAGTATGCGTGTACGTGTATATGTGCATGAGAAATAGGGACCTTAGATTATAAGATTCCTGAGGGCAGGGACTGATGTGAATGTGCAGTATGTAAAGGTCTGCGTAAATTGTCGGTGCTTTATAAATAGCTGTGATGAAAATAATAATGAAATAATGCACATCTGGAGTTTAGCTTTAAAGAAGAACTCCGGGTAAATAAAATCTTAACCCTTGCAGTGGGGTTCCCCCCACACTGCAAGGGTTAAGTGCTCATTTTGTCTAGGGAGCTAAAATAACAGAGATATACTCACCTGAACCGCAATCCTGTTGGGCTCCTAGATCGGTCCCTTTTGCCTATCTCTTCCTTCTCCACCAATGGTATGTCCCTTGGCGTCCTCATGTTTTATACACTGTATAGGACGTGATGACTCACAGAACCTTAGACCGCTAGAGTGGGAAGGCTCCGGGGACTGGTTTAACAGCCATGGGGGATCGAAGTTTGGGTGAGTATAACTTTGTTATGGCCACACTGCAAGGGTTAGGTGTTTTTTTGCCCAGAGTTCCTCTTTAAGAAAGAGCTCCAGTTACACTATATAATGGTTACACAAGTACATAGGTATATCACTGGAACAATAAGTGAGGGTATATGGTATATCAATCATTTAGCCACGATCTGGCCCCTTGTACATGGAGTTATTTTGTGCTTGGGTACTCACCACCCAGGGCTTGCTGCAGAAGTTGTAGATGGAGTACAGAGAATTGACACTGGGGACTCCCCCATACTGCAGGCCCATGATCAGGCTTCGGAAATCCTCACCAAGAGTCATGCTGTATGCATGCTGACGGATGAGCACAAAATCCGGTTTGAAGGATCTAGAGGGAAAGAACAATACAGGTCAGAAGATTCAACGAGCTGGTGGAGGTATTGCCAAGCGAAAACCTATTTTTCATTTAGCACTTTAAAATCAGACCGAAAACATTGTATTTCAACATCACCTTACCAACACTTAGGCCTCATTCCCACTGCTTAGAGTAGGCCCGTACAGATCTGTGCGGTGTGCACGGTCGTATCGGGCTGCTCCCAGGAAGGACAGGTGCTGCGTATGATTGTACGCAGCAGCCTGTTCTTGTCTATGGGAGTACGCGGCGGTATGACGCCGTACGCTCACCTTAACTGCACTTCTGTGCGGGTCCGGGTGTCCGTGCTCAGATGCAAACAGGATCCATCCTGTCTGCGTAGGAGTACAGACACCTGCGCAGATGTGCAGCTCGGGTGAGCGTACGGTGTCGTAGTCCCATAGAGAAAAACAGGCTGCTGCGTACAATCACACGCAGCACCTGTCCTTCCCGGGAACGGCCCCATATGGCTGTGCACGCCGCATAGATCTGTACTGCCGGCTCTTAGCTGTGTGAATGAGGCCTAAACTACACATGACAGCATGGTCTAATTTTTGGATGTTATGCTTACATTTTTGATATTATGTATGATCAAGTAAGTAAGTGGGCTATAGAAATAAATCTCTGATTGGTATAGTTAGGATATCCCCCCACCACCACCCTCACCATCCCTCATCAGGCTGAGGTGATAGAATCAGTGTGATTGGCTGATACTTGAAGGTCCTCTCCAGTCAATATCTAAAATGAAACCTTGAAATGCACACAGAGCATACAGACCGCCAGCTCAGTACTTTAAAAAAAAAAAAAAAACATTTTCTTTTTTAATTTAAAAGTGTTTCTTGAGCTCCAGTCCAGTATATTTGCCTAGCTTGAGATGAAGTCATCAATTTGCTGCAGGCAGGAGCCAGCATTTCCTCAGTCTCTACCTCCCCCCCCCCTTGGTTATCAGACTGCAACACTGTAACTTTGTAGCAAGTCACAAGGTGAGAGGCTGATCTGTGCCAGACATTTGTGAAGAACTGCACTGGCGCCAGGATTTCCATGATTGTGTCACCTCTGAGCCGGTCTCCCAGTGTTAGAAGAAGATGTTAATAATGTACGGCATTGTCAGGGGGGAGTACTGTGATCTCTGTGAGAGTCAATAAATACCTGGAAGGGTTACACTTAAACATTACTTAACATAAAAAAAATATATCAGACACAAGGTCTATTTAAGAGGTTTCTTCACCTTTATAAAGTGGCCCTGAATGGTTTTATAATCTGCGCAGTAAATGTAGTACTTCTTTACCTTTGGTGCGCCAGAGTTAGTTAATAATTGCCAGACATCTGCCAGAACTGTATTCCAGATGCTCATTATCCTCCAGTTTGGATTGCACGTTTATTCGAGAATGAGTTTGCTGCCTAAAGAGCTTGTTAAAGCTGAACTCGAGGCAAACAGCTAAATACCCAGATGATATACATATAATGGAACTGTTTACCTGACAAAGGATTTGTATTTCTGTACATCCCGTCCTAAAATGTACACATCTCTGCCACACAGCACAGTCCTGTCTGGCTCTTTATAGTCTCCTCTATAATCCATGAGCTCATGGAACTTCAGCGAGGGAATTTAACCCAAACCCATGAGATTGTATGGGACCTGGTTTTTCTCTGTTGCATTCAGTAACACTTACAAGTCTTGTCCCTCTCACTGGCTGTGATTAGACAGTGAAAGGAGAAGCAGCAGGCTGATGATGTTGTCTCTCTGTCACTGAATTCATTCACACAGCTGCATTCATTTGTGTCTTCTATATTTGTCTGGAGTTTAGCTTTAAAAGAGAGCCTATAAAGACAGCAGATACCCGGACCCAGCTGGGGTTCTTGCCAAGCACTAGCGGCTTGCAATGATTGAATTCTGGACAGTGGCGGAGCTAAGGAACAAAAGGCCCTGGTGCAAGATTTTTTCTTGGGCCCCCCCACCTCCCTCCAATGCGAAGGGTCTTAGGAGGGGCACATACAGAGGGTCTCAGGAGGGGCACATGCAGAGGTTCTCAGCAGGGGCGCATGCGGAGGTTCTCAGCAGGGGCGCATGCGGAGGGTCTCAGCAGGGGCGCATGCGGAGGGTCTCAGCAGGGGCGCATGCGGAGGGTCTCAGCAGGGGCATATGTGGATGGGCCTTGCATAGGCACATGCGGAGGTTCACAGCAGGGGCACATGCGCAGTGTCTCATCAAGGGCACATGTGCAGGGTATCAGCAGGGGCACATGTTGAGGGTCTCACCATGGGAATATATGGAGGGTCTCACCAGGAGCAGATGTGCGGGTCGGCTCTCTGAGATGTGCGGGTTAGCACAGTCAGATGTGCAGGCCAGCGGAAGAGCTTGGAGATGTGTGGGCCGGTTCTGTGGTTTCCCAGAATGCTGCCACGAGGTCCCCAGCAAACAAAGGACTTTA